GATGTTCCCAAAGATCCCCTGCACAGCAATAGCAGCAAATAACTATAAAAGCAATGTTGATTAACCCGGTCTTATTTGTTCATATGATATCTCAGACCAAGATGGCACCCGTTTCGCCTGCATTTGTTTGGGCATTATTAGGTTATTAATTGATCGATCTTATGCTTTCTAGAAAGAAAGGATGAATTCACAAAATAAAAAAGAAAGAAAGAAAGGATGAACAAGACTTAGAACGAATCTAAGCTTTCGAACCTTCCTTTCTTCTTTATTTAGAACCTTCCTTCCTTTCTTTCTTCTTTATTAGAACGTGCATGCCTTCTAACTATTTTTGTCGTTGGGCAAGAATCTATTGTTTGACTCTTCATTTTTTATGACCCGTTTAGTTGAAAAGGCAAGCATGTCATATTCATTCATATAAGTCTTTTTTTTAATATGTTAATCACGATTTTCATTAGAAAATACAATTAGACATCTTCAACTCAAAACTCATCTTCAACCTCCGCTGTCACTCCAGTACCTTCTTCCCTGTTGTTAATGGCAAAAATTCGAACTGGACCGAGAAAGGTACAAAGAAGGTAAGAAGGCGAAAAAAAAACGGCTGGAATGCCCACACAGACTGGCGGCGAGGCGAGAACAACAACAGCTAACACATAATTAGGAGCAAACAGCATAGTGTTTTTTTTGGCAGTGAGTAATCAATCCCATATATCAGAGTGATAGAATAGATTATACACTTTCTAGGGAAATCTTAAGATGATATCCCTTGGTTAGTCAGTATGTTAGTTATAGATAGTATTATGTCCGAATCTCATATTTCATACTTATTCATTTAGCTTAGCTTAGCTTAGCATGCATAGTGTTTTTTAGTTACATATTATACTTTACAAGCAAACATGCATGTGTGTTGCAACGGAAGAAAAGCTGTCAAATATTTTATGGAGATGACGATAGAAATGGTATGCATTATTTATGTTTTATTCTTTGTGTAAAATTAAAACATATAATTTATTTTATGACGAACAATGACATCCATAATATAAGTTAATGTGGCAATAGTATGACAAAGTATCAAATTAAAATACAAACTTGATAATTTTTGTCCTGTTTCAAAGCACAGAAATATTTAGACTTAGATACTCCATCCGTTTCAAATTATAAGTCGCTTTGACTTTTTTTTACATCCATTTTGCTATACATCTAGATAAATATATGTCTAGATACATAGCAAAATGGATGAACTAAAAAAGTCAAAACGACTTATAATTTGGAACGGAGGGGAGTACATCATAACTTTATTTTTATTCTATTCATTTATTGCCACAAGTATATCGAGTTTTGTGATATTTGAGGACACAAAAATCAATAGTTCTAATATATGATTAAAGTCAACAAGAAGTTAGTTGCCAACATATCAAAGATTAGTTTGTCAGTTGATAATTGTGATGGGAGATCTCTCTTGATTTTTCACATGCCAGCCTTCATTAGGGATTGCAAAGACACATTTGTTTAGACTGAATTAGATAAGAAGCTATTAAAAATTTAGTTGATAGTTTGATTAGTTAGACCATTGGCTAATAATCTAGGTTTTAATAAGAACAAATTTGTTTCTAATCAAAATTACATGAATAATTTGGTAGTGGAAATCTTTGTCTGTGAGAAAATAACCAATGGTTTAGAAACACGTAATACTGTATTATTATTTATTTATATTTTATTATGATGAAAAAGGAAAATACTAGATAAACAGACGAAAAATGAAAGGTATAACCAAATAAACCAGATCAAAACAATCATGGAGCAAAAGAAAATCGAACATGAATTGGAAACAAACGAATAGAGGGAAAAAATAAAAATAAAAACCAAAAAAGTTAGACCGAAGCCAAATATCAATGGTTTAAGGATCCATAATACTATATTTAATATTTTTTTTCTATATTTATATTTATCTAATAGGTGATATTTGGAAAAAGACAAAAGCGGGAAAAGGTCAGGCCTACGAAGCACACGGACTCAACCAGCAGTTCGGCATAGACGCTAGACGAAGCCGAATAAACAGACAGAAAAAATATAGTGGAACAGACTCGACACAACGAAACCAAAACGAGCGCTATTTAGGTTGAAAGGCCACTGTGTAATTAGGTTGGATGAGAATTTAAGGTGCCCGAAATTTTGGCTCTTTAATATTAGGTATAGATATATGATAGACATGTGGACTCACAAAATTTTGGGTGGTAAACATTGTAACTAAATGTTTTTAACTACATAATAATGGAAATATTATAATGATTTTTAAATATTATAAGGATTTCTTTGCTCAGCAGGATTTTTCCCCTCCTGCCAACTACCATCGTCCAACAAGAAGGTGAGCAAAGTTTAACAAGAGTTGAACAAGGTCTTACTTGTGGCATATTGTTGTTTTCCTACTTATTTACAGTTAAACTAGGCAACTAGCCAGGCAATAGTACCCTTGGAATCAAGAGGGCCCTGTGCTAAACGAGAGGGATAAGCGTAAAGCGACGTTTCTCCTACAGTCGTACCACGACTAGCGGAAGAAAAGAATAGTTTTGACTGCCTGACTTTGACCAACACGGAATATAAAATGTGGAGCACGATACTTGAGGCACAACTCAAAGCATCACCTGAAAAAGAGTCTAAATGACGGCAACCCATCCGATGGTCCCGTGCTCTCGATCAAACTTTCCAGGCTTGTGTAAATCTGTTGTAGTACTGGCACATTATCTTTTTGGAATTGGAATTGGAGTGGAGTGGAGTGGAGGAGTGAAGTGACCGCACGGCGACAAGGAGTGCCCTGATTTGGTGGCCTCGAGCACCGTCCTTGCTCCTAAACATCAGCGCCGAAGCAACGCTCTGGTCCCTGGGACCCGTGGCCGTGGCTCGGCAGCACGCCTGCTGCCTGCACGGCTGCACCTGCACTGCATTGCATCGGTCCCTACGCGACCGTACTCCACCGCAGCGATTATCGGCGGGACACCGCGGGCCGCGGCGCTCGCTTCCACGTTACCTGAAGAAGAGAAAAGGAGACGACCGCCTGTGGCTGTGGGCTGTGCTGCCCATCCATGATTTCCCGTCATCGTCTCGTGCTCGTGCTCGTGTCATCCGCCCTTAAAAAACCTGATAGGCACCCTCCCCCCCCAAGCCTCCCACTGACGGAAAAGCGGGCTGAGGCATCGCGTGGAACCTGATTGACGTTTCAAACCTGCTGGTCTACTCGTATGCTGTGGCCTGTGGGTGCTCTTTATGGAAAGCCAAGGGTTGCGCCCCCGACCCCGCCGTCTTACGTTGTCGTCACATCACGTTCGGTTCACAGGGAGGCCGAGGCGTTCGCCGGTGGCCGCTGGTCGGAGAGCCTGCGTGCGCGGCGGCAGCAGCAGCCACGGATTATTAATGGCGGGGCTTCAGGAGTGGTGTTTGAATTTACTAACGCGAAATGAAACCGAATGCCCCCCGTGCAAGTGCAACGCAGTGCGGCACGGCGGGTCTCGTGACGCCGGATCGATTCGAATCACGCGCCGACCTCCACGCGACCAAGATTCACACAACGTGCAGCAGGTACTGCCTGCCTCGCTGACACCGGCCAGGCCGGCGAGCGAGCCCAGAGGCAGCAGGGCCATGACCCATGGCCATGAAGCAGCAGCACCTGAGAATCCGTGCGCCTTGCATAAAACCGGCCGGCCGTCTCGTCGTCCCCTGGCCGTCAGGCCGTGGCCGTGCGACCCCCGCCGGGCCGTACTGCTGCAGTGCTGCTGCTGGACTGGCCTCTCTTAAGGCTTTCCACGCAGACAGCACGGCCGCAGAGTAGTTTGCATGCCACGCTCCACGTGATCTCTGCTGAGACACCGTGACCACACCACACCCCACCTCTCTCCACCCACAGCCCGCGCACCAAGTTCAAGTCTCTCTCTGGATCGCCGTCCGGTCGTCCGGACACTGGCCGGCTTCTAGTAGCTCTACCTCTACGGACGGAGTGAGAAGCGGTCAGTGGTGGGTGGGGGCTCAGGAGGTGCTCGTGCAGGTGTGCTGTGGTGCTCTGCCGTGCCGAGTGCCGATGGCTGATGCTAATGCCCCAAGCATCAGCTGCTGCTGCTGCGTGCATGTGGTAGCGAGGATACAAAATCCATCCATCGTGTTGCGTGACACCGCCAATGACTTAGGTGTTACTAAGCAGTGTCGTCCAAAACGCCATAAATAGTGTCGATTGCTCTTCGGTGAGATAACTAGTAGGATGATATCTCTTTCATTTTGCGGCTACTCTAGAGAGACATCATTGCTTTATCCTACTATCACACCTGTCTAGATGATGTGATGATGGTTTTGGCATTCTTTTAGCTGGCATTCAAGCCTTGTGCGGTTCCTCTTGGAAGCAAAAGATTACTCATCTATCGCTACGCCGCAATGTTGGCGTGTAATAAATTCTTTCTTCCGCATATATCTATATCGCGCTCTAGCCACCTCTGCCGTTACGACGTCCAGCTTTTCTCTGCCAACTCTAGCTTTATCAGCGTTCTCCGTGGATCGTAGTTCGTAATATGTTACGGCACCGGTTAAAAGAACGGTGCGCGGCATAGCCCCCTAACACTCTACTGCTAGTAAACAAAATAAAATGTAATTAATAACTGAAAAATGAGGAAGTGCCTTGATTTTTTTTCTTGAACAACACCTATTATATATTTATTATTATTCAGTCTGTTCGCTGGTTGGTTTCTGGACTGATAAGTCTGGCTAGTGTTAGTTCGTTGTGAGAAAAAAATACTATTAGTTGACTGATAAGCCAGACTGAAACCAACAAACAAACAGTCTAATTATATCATCGATCCACAGCCCAAACCGATCCATAGAAGAAGCGAACCGGCGCTACCCCACCAGGCTACCAGCCCTCACACTCCCCTAAACCCACTTGGCTCACGCAGAGTAGCACTGCAGACTGTTCCTTCCCAAACCCCATCACCAAAAGGGCCTCGGCGAGACTGCGACTGCGATCGATGGCTGCCGCCGACGCCAGGCCCGCGCTGTCCCGCTCCCGCGTGGTGGCGCGGGCACTCGTGCACGCGGCGCAGGTCGCGGGCTTGGTCGTGCTCCTCCGCGCCTTGGCCGAGTTCCCATGGGCTGCCGCCGCGGCCCCATCCATCCTCCGCTTCGCGGCGTCCTTCCTCGACCCACCGCGCATCTGCTTCCTCGCCGTCAACATCATCGTGGTCACCCTCGCCTGGCTCTTCCCCCACGACACAGCCTCACTCTCGCCGTCGTCGTTCGCGGACCTTTCCGGCTCGCCGATCTCCAACGGCGACGCCCCACAACAACACCCGTTCCTCGCGTTCCTGGAGGACCCGCGGCTGCAGGAACTGCCGCCGATCACCGAGGCCGAGCCCTCCCGGGAGCAGGCGCCGCCGCCGCCGGAGGAGGTGTTCGAGGACAAGGAGGTGATGCACGTGAAGACGACGGTGCGCGCCCAGCCCCCGCGGCGGACCATGTCGGAGAAGACGACCCGCGACGGCGCAGCAGCAACAGCAGCAGCATGCCATACGAGCACGACGAAGGCTGCGTCGCCGCCGGAGCTGCGGCGAGCCAAGTCGGAGAACGGCAGGCGGCGGCAACGGCGGTCGGCGGCGGTGGCGGCGGCGCCGGCACCGGTGGAGCTGGGGACGGACGACGCCGAGGCGTTCCGGCAGGCGGTGGAGGCGTTCATCGCCAAGCAGCAGACCTGGTTCCACCGCGAGGAGTCCATGGTCATCGCCCGCGCCGCCGCCGCCGCCGCCGGAGGGGAAGACGGCCCGGGGAAGATCGCCGGCGCTGCTGCGGTGGCCGTGAAGTGAGCGCGTGATCGAGCAACGCCGCAGCCACCAGTGAACTGAACAAGGCTGCTCGCCGCCGCTCCTGCAAATAAGGGCCTGTTCGGCTGGCTAAAAAATGTCTGAGGTTGATTCATTGCGAGAGAAAAACAGTACGGCTGATAAGTTCGAAGAGGAGCAAGAGCGACGAGGGTGAAAGGATCGAGAGAAGAGACAGCAGGGGCCAACAACAGCCAACTGTGCTTTGTTAATGAACAAGTTTTGCCTTTTGGATGGCCGCTCTGTCTTTCGTTCTTCACCGCCGTATGTCCGCATCTGAAGTTTCCGAAGGCGTTTTTTTTTTTCTTCGACTTTTGGCTAGCTCCTCTCAACGCTGCGAGCGGCCCCCAATGCTTCTATGCATTTTCTTAGGCGTATAATTAGGATCATCTAGCGATGATTGACACCGTAGAATACATGTCTCAGACGCGAGAAGATACGTCGATACGTGGATATGATCACCTAATTCAGCTACTGGAGCGGCGGCGACAGGGTGTAGCTAGAACAGATCGATTCGCCGTCGTACTATTTTAACACTTTTAACAGCGACTATTGCAAGAACAGATTTGTCGTTCGTCTCGTCTCCACTCCTGGGACACGACACAGCTACCTTGCATTGCATGACCCCCCGATCGGCAGCGATGGATGCTCGCGCACGCCACCCACGCACCCTTGCCCAAAGAGACGCGCGCGGCGGCCCCGCGCCATGGCCATGGGACACCACCGTTCCGGCCGATGGATGCAACGCCGTGGGAGCTGCTGTTACCGTGCAACGCGTGCCGGAGAGACGCGCGAGGGGGGTCAGCGAGGGGCAGAGGGGGGCCGTTCGGTTTGCTGAAACTGGCTGAAAAATACTGTTCTAACTAAATTATTACGAAAAAAAACACTGTTCCGATTGAAAAAAAAAACCGAACGAACCGGCAAGTAAGCCGAACGGGGCTGTTGCGAGAGAGAAGACGCACACTGACATGACCAATCTACGCACGAAGAAAAAAAATTGGTTTTCTCTGAACTGACAAGACTTGGACGATGGATGGAGCACGCACGCGCGCAATGTACAATCACGTACATACGCGCGCGACAACAAGGTACGCGGTTGCACGTAAATAAAAGCTTTCACCTCACCGGTGTGCCGTCCGTCCGTTCCCTTTTTCCGTTCGCTGCACTGCTGCAGCTGCAGGCAGGCCAGCTAGGGGGGTGAGGTTTGACATGGCTGTGGCCTGTGGCCTGTGGCTTGGCTTTGCGTGGAGTGCTCGCGACGACGAGGCTGCGTGCGTGCCTGCCTGAACTGTCCGTGTACCGCGTACGTGCACATGCATGGCTCGCACTGTTGCTGTTGGGGCGGACCCCCTGCATCTGCATCTACGGTTGCCTGCATCTGTCTCAGCCTCTCAGGCTCTCAGCTTGCTCAGTGACGTATACAAGCAGCAGTACATGTCATCTTGGCGCCACCTCCATAGATGAAAAGTGGCCTCTCTGGTTGCGCAGATACACCTAAACAATGCGATTCTATTTGTACCATGAGTTAAACCATTTTGAATTTAACTATTTTTATATAATAAGAATAAAAAGTTTATACGAAATGTATTAATATTTATAATACATAATAATGCCTTATTTGAAACCATTGGCTACTAATAGTTCATAACTAATATTAGCTGCTATTAGCTAATTTGATTCAACTAGTGAAATAGTTGCTAGTTGGGTATTCACTATTCGTCTAACAATTAGATACACTTGTTTCAATCCAAGGAGCTAATTATTAGCAGCTAACTATAGCTCAATGGAACCAAACCGGACCTAAGTATCATTAGGTACGTTATAAAATATATTTTAATGGCACACCCCATTCTTATACTTTTTTTTCTAAAAAATAGTAAAAAAAAATTAAATACTTTGACTTGTCAGAAAATGAGAATTGCATTTATTTTGGGGACGGAGGAAGCACATACGTGGAATTTGAGCATTTCTACAAAGCTAGCACATACATGGAATTATTAATGGTATTAATGTATTTAGAATAATACTAAGGATTAATTTGAAAAATTGTAGGGATAAATTCGTCCGATTTTAGTGTTCTCAGTACCATTCCTTTACGTTTGTAGTTGCAAAAGAAAATTTCCTCCACCTTTGTTATACAACTCGCCACTGCCGACAATATTAGCAACCATATGTCCATTAGTGCTAACACTTGGTTATCTATTTCTATACACATCCATTTCCATTTTTTTTCCCCGATGCAATGATTCTTCCCGTGCGGCAGAAGGAGATTTGTGGGGTTTACTAGTCCTGTGTCCTGACCCAGCAAAAGCTAGCATTCTCAGAGATTTTTGTGGCAGTGGGAACAGGATGATGCCAACAAAAATTAGCTTTTGGAATGCCACTTTGTGCAGTGTGCACCCAGGAAGCTGCTTTAATTCCCCTTTGATTATTATGCCCTTGCCCAATCCATACCACTAGTTCTTTCTATTTTCAACCATGATGTTAGGTTCCTATGATGACAATCTGATGCTTCCTCGTCAGCAGAGCAAGGGCATTCGATACTCGTCAAAGAAAATACTGGCAATGTTCGCCACTCTTTAGTTCTGATATATCTGGGATTCTGGGTGCATAAATTAAGAATGGCAGGAACAGAAGATGGCCAACGAACATCTTTTTTTTTTCTGTTCCGGTCCAAGATAAAGAAAACTAAGACATAGTCTTTTGCATTGTGTTGTTCTTGATCCCACTACTCGCTTTACATGACCACGGCTGATAACAAATGAAAGCTATGCGTTTCCTTTATTTCTTCTCGATGCAGAGATACAGATTTGTCCTGCGTGCACTCTATAAAAGCTCGAGAAAAAACTCTGCAGGGTGTAGTTAGTGACATCCAACACTACACGATGCAGGGTTCTTCTGAGAACAGCAACTGTAATGTAGTATAAACCAACGACCACGATTTCGTGCCACTTCAACAGAGGTTATATTTATACTGTAGCGCGCTAGTAGTGATTAGTGAAATGCTCGTGTCTCATGCGGAATCCGCAAACCCAATCCTCATCTTGCCGTAGTCAAAGATGGTATGGTAGGCTCCCATGAAGACGTCCCCCAGTATCCTGCATCAGTTTCATTCACGAATAGGATTCAGGGATCGCATCCCATGAAAAGCAAGCCATAAAAGCACTGAGTTTCTTTTTTTTTTATCATAATGATCTAGGGGGATTCAGCCACTGAATGCAGTTCTTCCAAGTAAATAAATCATATTAACCGACCGGTGTATCGATCTTACCATAGAGGGCCTACTGGAGGGGGAATGTCCAGAGCCGTGAACCCGCTGATGCAATGTGCAGCGAATCCCTCGCCGACCTTGAGAATGTACTGCTCGACAACAGGAAGATGATACAAAATTTGTTGGCCGGCCTTTTCAGTCGCGTGCCATTACTCCCTGAATCAAGCAGCAATGTTTGTGAAACGATTCAGGAAAGCTAACCTGGTCAGGCCGGAGCTCAAATGCTCTTCCACCGATGCTGAACGCGACAGTTTGTAGGGAGCCTATGTGTCTGCAGTCCACGTGCGATCCCACTGGATCAGGCATGTTTTCGCAGAGCTGTCCATCGATGAACTCTACTTCTGGTTAGACATGTCTGATGTACCAAAAGTCCAAGACAGAACGAAGAATCAGTGGCTCAAGATAGCTTCTCACTCACCCTGTCGACGTACTCCAATGTGCCCCCCGTGGTCTTGTTCGGGTTGAACTCGCTTTGCATCCAGAACACTATCATCTCGCATGCATTACATATAGCTTCCGACATGCCATCTTCAGATCCTGATACGCTCTCGATACCGGCACTGCGATGGAGTATGCAGAAGAACTGTATGTATGAGACCATTTGCACTTGCACGAACACAAAACGGAAGGCTTTATTTGAAATTAAATTGGTTTCAGAATCACAGCCAAACTTGTCAACCATTGCACGAACCTTACTCCATGTGTTCCGTCGAATGTGCAGAGCCCAATCTTCGAACATACCTGTGATGGTGGTGTCTGCTAAATGTTAACCAAAGAAGCTGAATTAGTTACGTGACTCACTCAGTAAGAACAGAGTGCATCCGTTTCTCTAAGGACGTGGTAGAAATGGCTCTAACCTGAGCTTTCAGTAGCTCTGCCATTTCTAGCCCGTAACCAGCAACGACTTGTTTGCACTCATGGCTGACCACCCCAGCTGCTCCAATTTGTTCATTGATCTGGGCAATGGCAACCTGCACAGCAGAGAATACTACTATGAAACCGCCTCATGAGACAGTAATTTCAGTGCAAGTTCGAAGGCTTTTGTTAGTACATTTGTAGTAAACATAAGATGTATATACATCAGTGGTATTTTGTTTTCTGATGATGACATCAGTGGTATTAGGATGAAACATATGGAATGGAAGCCTATGAATTGCTTACTAGAGGACCAGCAATCAGCGAAGTTCCAGAGTCTGCAATGGCCGCACAACCATCCACACAAATTCCTATCATCACACACGTCATCTGTCAGAGAAACGAATTGTTTCAACCATAAGCATGCCTGGTGGTTGAAACAGTAAATGAGCTTAATGCATTACCAGTGCTCCTTCCTCCAATAAGAAAGTCACCCATTTCAAACTGCAGACACGGACGTCAGAACAAGTAAACTCTGAAGAAAAAACATGCTATATGAGATAACAGCAGTTTCAGTTCAGAAAAAAAGGCCAACCTGCCAGTAAGCTTTCCGAGTAACTCTGGTGTATGTATGGCTTCCTTTGTAATGTTGGTCATCAGAACCTCCAAACACAATTTCGCCTCCTTCCCCATCGAATGGGTTTCGGTTTAACCAGAAGGAGAAAACAGGTTCTGCCACTAGGCTTTGGTTCACCATATTGTACCTGACATATTACATTTCAAATTCCATTTTCCACTAATCAGAAAACAATTCACTGCAAGTAATGTTCAGTTACAAACTATGTATGATAACTTCAGGATGGAGCCTTCACTTGATGAATAAGAGATTATTTCATCAGAATATCTACTATTCTACGGACCACAAATAGTTGTTTGGAAAAAAGCTTTTGATACCATAATCATGAAAGCAAAATTGTATTTTAACTTCCAATGCACTGGTAAGTTACTTGTGGCTTTTTTTTAACATTTGATGCAATATACTTGTTATCCCTGGCAAGAAATCTAGGTTGTGGACTTGTGGTAAGTAAATACTAGATCATCAGACTTTATAGAAAACTAGGACAAGGTTAACAATGGCAGCTATCGTACCATACTGGAACTGAGCCTTCAACTGAAATTTCCTGAAATGCAAGCCCAAGGATGCCATCGAATTTCGCTAGTAAAAAGGTGAAACCAGGCTCATGAGTAGCTTCAATGAATTCCTGGGTGGTACAATTGGGTTCAGTAAAACCATTGCTGTTTATTTCGCAGGTGAAATAAAATATACTGTAAGTAACAGAATGGGAAATGAAGCACCTGATTCTGAACTACTAGATTGCCAACCGTGACCTGATCTTCACTGTAAAAACCAGCGATTCCTCCTGTCCCGTAATGAATAGAAGCCGGTGTTCCTGAATACCGAAAAGAAATGCAGGGCTCAAATCAACAGGGCAACAGGCAACGGCAATAGTATTGTTACTCCCAATGATAAGAATACGCTCAGGACCAACATCTATCATAATGTTACTCCCTCTGATAAAACTAGTACAGTGTTTATTTTTCATTTGGAAAATGCCAAACTTTGTATACTTTGAGCAACACCAATCATAATTGCAATGGAAGTGATGATCTAAATTTATAGAACCATACCATTGGGTTTGTAAGTGCTGGACTGACTTGAGTCATACTTGGGATGGAATAAGCACGCGAGCTGTTTCCAGAGCAACCAACATGAGTAACAAACAAATAACCCCAAGAAAGGACAACAAAAAAAAGCATACGCCATTCTTACCGAGAAAAAGCACTTGGCAGAAGGGACCCAAAGGTTGGCGCTCCCGGTGTCAAAGACGACGGTGAAATTCTGCGGCGGGCAGCCGACCCCAATCTGGCCAAAGTACTGCGCGTTGAGGAAGTTCTTGAGCGCAACGATGTCCCCCTGGCCGCCAACGCCATCACGCAAACCGCTGCTGTTTGCCTTGGCGCCCCCGCCGCCGTAACTCCAGTAGTACCTGCGCCTGCGCTCCGTGGCCGCGGCCTCGACCAGCATCTGGTGCTGCCGCTCGCGAGCTTGCGCGATGGCTCCCCGCACCGGATCGTCGACGCCGACGGCCTCTCTCCCTGGCCCTGCCGCGGCTTGCTTCGTCTTCTCCAGCGCGCTGCTAGGCTTTGGGAGAAGCTCGCCGTAGATGCTGTCCATTATCGATCTCTTCTTCAGCGGGATACGGATGAGGCCATCGGTGTTCGATGATGCGAGCAGTGTCGACGTAGAGAGCGCGTAGGGAAGGATGAAGATCGTCCCACATGTCCTACGCCCCATCCTCATATAAGCAGAGCAGTGGCGATGGATAGACCGAGGCGGTTGCATGCAGAAGGGAAGCCCAAGGAATCAGAGGCGGCGGCGTTGGGGCACTTTATAGAGGGAGTCACGGACGAGGACGGACGAGAGCACAGCAGCGTCGTAGAGGTACATACGCCCTGGCTGCATTTGGGTTGGGAGCAAGCAGGGTTGGCGGCACGTTACATTTTGGGCCGCTGCCGTCAGGTCAGGTGCGGTGCCTTCGAAGATCAACGATTCTCCCCCCGGCCCGCACAAATGGCAGCTAGAGTAGAGAACAGATTTGCTAAGTTGCTGAGGGTTGATTGTGCTTTGGTGCTTGCCAGAAACCAGGGGGGACCGGGTCATTGCTCGCGTTTGCGTGAAATGCAGACCACTCTAGCTAATACTAGTCATTACTCGGTGGATCATGGATGCGGCGACCGAATGGCAAAGTCATGACGTCTGCAATTTGTCATCCGGGGAGAAGTGGCGCCGCAAGAGCATTCTGACGTGGCACTCGTCTCGTGGAACACAGTTCCTTGCCATGTAAACAGGGCAGAGTCTCCCACTTTTTAACGGAATTGGGAAAATAAAAACAGTTCCTTCCGAAGAGAAGACATGGTTGCACATAACTCTACACATTTTCTTCCAAAACACAAGAACATGTTACTTACAGCTTGTGGTGATGGAAATCGAAAGAGCCACTGGAGGATTGGCGAACAGAAAAGAAGGCAAACAAACAAACGAAAGAATTGCGGTTGGGCGCGATCGATTCAGGCAGGCCGAGTTTTTTTTTTCAGAGCCTGAAGCCGAAGCGCACGAAGAAGAGGCAGAGCTGCGCCACCACCACCACGGACTCCACCAGCCACAGCAGGTGGTACGCCGCGCGCTGAAACAGCGCCGCCAGCACGTTCCTCCACCGCAGCGCCGACGGGACCGCGGCCGCCAGCAGCTTCCGCCTCGGCGACGACTGCGCCGACGCCGACTCGCTGCTGCCGCTGTTGTTGTCACCGCTGCTCCCGGTCGCGGCCGCCTGCTTCCTCCTCGGCGCCATCCGCCTCCGCATCCACTCCCGCACCTTGCTCTTGCTCCCGCCCGCCATCACAACTCAAACGACGATCAGGTCGATCTCACGCTGCCACCTCAACACCTGCGCTGCTGCGCTTCTTGCCTCCCGCGTTCAGCTGCTGCTGCTGTCTGGAATTGCACGGCCTCCTCCGGTTCTCGTCGCCCGAGCCTTTTATCCTGCGACGGCACGCGGTTGGCAGAGTTGACGATGCCGCCCTTGCCGTGGCGCGTGATTTCACTCGGGTTTCCGGTTCCCCCAATTCGCCTGTACTAGTCTAAGTACTGCGCGCCACTGCATGGATGGAGACGCAACAGAATACTAATCACAACTCTTGACGATTCAAAGTCAAACAGGGCCTTGGTCAACTGGTCAGGTAAGTGGTTGCTTCATTGCTTGGAAGGTTCTGATCTCGATGCGAGTGACGTGCTGATGGTACGCAGACACGATGGCTTAGGGAAGGGGGTGTACAAGGTTAGTAGCGAATTGCGATGATTAACAACTATAATATTCCCGTTTCATTAGGTTTATATTATAATATATAACCATATCATTGCTCGGTAGTGACCAACTTCGCCGCCTGCTCTGGTTGATCGTTTCGTCATCTCTGATGCGAGTGCGTCTCTCCAATGAGTATGTGAGTACAGGCCACAGACCAGATGCGTTCTTTCCTTTTATGTCTCCACTTCTGTCTACTTCTAGAAACACATATACTCCTACCTACCAGGGACCTGTAGAACACCGCCGCTGCTGGTTCCGCACCAGTCCCGTTCGCTTGAACTACTTCAGCAGTGTTTTTTATGAACGAATAAAGTTTTTCTTTCACAACAAATCAGCATAACCTAAATTTCAGCGAAACGAACATTCTTCCAATAGATTTACTTTTTTTTCTTTCTTTATAAATTCTTTATATGATTTCTTCTCTGGTAATCAAATTTATCTTAATGTACTCATATCAGGGATTGTCGATGTTTTTCGTGAGTAGTGAAGTTTGAGTAGTTAGTTGCTCTATCGTTGTACCGAAGTTATGAGGGTGGTGTGACGGCACCCTCTCTAGTTGTGTAATTTTTTGACTCAGTTTTCACTTAAAATAGAGGTGACTTTTTAAAATTATTTTCCTTTTAATAAAAACTGCAGCAAAATTTTTATCGTTCTTTCAAAAAAAGTATAAAAGGATTGCGGGGTTTAAAGAAACCTCTTCAATCAACAATTGGAAATACCTAGTCAAGGACACTAAAAAACTAATCAAGGTTTCTTTAGGCTGTAAACATTTCCAAGGGAAATAAAATAGCAGTTAGTGAAAGTTAATCTAATATTCGGTAGAGTATCTCTACTAGTTAAATGGGACTCTTAATAGTAATAGCATGTTCCAGTTGTTGAGCTTATTTTTTAAAAAAATTATAGGTAAATCCAAATTTGAAAAATGAATGATCCACATTTGAGAAAAAAATTAATGCGGATTAGCCCTCAATGTCCTCGGCCATATTAGCATCGCCAAGTTTTCATGTGGCGGTGTCAAAGCATATTTGTTGCTATGATAGGCAAAAACAAAAGTGGAAGAAGTTAATATTGCCTCCCTTAACTATTACATTTGACTCCACGGTGTCCATGTTGGTGCCACATCCACCGTGGAGAAAGGGGGGGGGGGGGGGGGGGATGGGTCCACATGTCATACAAAAACAAATAAGAAAAATAGCTCACAAGTCGCACCCATGCGATAGGGCCTGTTATTAGTTTTCTTTTTAGAAACGGGCCTATTACTAGTGGACTGCGACAACTGGACCAAGTGGGCTAGCGGGCCATGAAGCAGACTGCAGACTTGTGTGCCGTCCAACAATGCAGGATTCGTCCTCTCTAAAAAAAAATGCAGGACTCGTGTTCATTCAAACTTCAAACGATCTCCGAAACAGTGACCACAACATTTAGGGCTGGTTCAGTTCAGTGCCTAACATTGCCATACCGCATATTTGTTGTCAGTCATGTCAAATTTGCTTAATATTTGTTGTCAGTCATGTCAAATTTGCTTAAACAGTTGTTTGGTTCATTTTCTTAACACCATGTCCCACACATCATAAACTCATTTTCTTGCTAAACTTAGGCACCAACCAAACAGGACCCTAAGCTGACAAGAATCAACATCTGCTAACTCAGCGAGAATCAGCGTATGTTGCCAAACGACCATGTAGGCTCTGGCAGTCTGGGCTGGTTCCGCCAACGAACTCATCGGATAAGGTAGGGCAGGCCGCAGGTAAATATGAGAAACAATGACAAGCAGTAACACTAAGACCACAACCTCATGTGCAGCATTGCATCAGGGAGAAGAGAAACTGATTTAAGAAGGCAACAATGCAAGAAATAAAAGAACCGAACAAATGTTAAACACCCAACCCAAGAGGAATTCCTCAGGCGCCAACATATAACCCTATACAAATAACAGGAGACCAGGAGGTTCCTCATCCAAGAATGCTTCTACTCCACCTGAAAACAAGGCCTAATATTTAGGTAGCAATACCTGGGCTTGCCTTGCCACAGTTACCTACCAGCATCCCCTATCAGGACAGCAATCACCTTGGTGATTAACATCGTTTCTGAGACAGTTCCTGATATAGCTTAGATTTCCAGGCCTCATGGTTGAGACCGGTCAGATGTTGAGCTTCCAGTCCTTTCTACCTTCTTTCCAAACTCCGCGGAGTTTGAACCCTCTGCAATGGACTCAATATCCATACTTCCAGTGCGGCTTCTCCGATTTCTCCGATCCTTTTTGCAAGAGAACATATATGTTAATTGTTAAGCAGCCATCGTTACTTATAGTATACATCAAGGTAGGTATTGTTTATCATTACCTCCCGATATGGAACTTCTTCTGACTCAAGCATCCTAACAACCTGGCCCATCTTAGGTCTCTTTTCAGAGTCAGGATCAACACACCTCAGTGCCACCAAAAGAGCCCGCTTGAGAGCCCTAATACTGGGTCTAACCTCTAAGCTTGGATCAGCCACTTCCTCTGCCCTCCGATTAGCCACCATTGTTTTGAGCCATTCAACAAGATTCACCTGACAAAAGGGTGGGTTATCATCTGACAAAAATGTATGTCCACAATTTGCGAAAGCATAAAAATATTTACTGTTTTGATTGGACCACAAAAGCCTAAGGATCTAAGAATGTAAAACTGATGGAAATGTTCATAACAACTACATTACAAGAGAGATCCAGTTTAATGCTTTTGTATTGTCAATTGTGACGATGGTCCTGGCTATATAAAATGACACTATAACAAATAAAATGATGTAAAATCCAAATGGCTACAACAAAATACAATGAATAAAGTAAATAAACAACAACATACAATGAATACAAGTAAATAAACTCCAACGTTATACCTCATTGGAAGATCGGCTGTAGTCAACAGGATTCCTTCCTGTCACAGTTTCCAACAAGAGAACACCAAAACTATAAACGTCGCTCTTTTCATTTAACATTCCAGTATTAGCATATTCAGGTGCAACATATCTGAAGCAAGAAAAATGAATGAGGAAAGTTAAACTCTATAAATAATTGTAAAGATACAAAGCAAATGGACAGGTATGGGTTAGAAAAAAGAATAATACCCAAATGTTCCCATCACTCTAGTAGTAATGTGGCTTTTGTCTGATCCCAAAAGTTTAGCCAATCCAAAGTCAGATACCTTGCCATTAAATTCATCATCAATCAATATGTTGCTTGATTTTATATCACGATGTACAACTTTTGGTTCTATAGCTTCATGAAGGTAAGCAAGCCTGCAACCATCAGAATTAGAAAAATAAGAACCAAATTTAAATAGCTAAAACAGAGCAAACTATAGTAGTAACTTGCAGATTAAGTTAAAGAAACTTACGCTTTTGCAGTGCCTGTTACAACCTTCATGCGATTTTCCCAGCCAAAAACACCACGCTGATGCATAGCTCCATGAAGCCACTGCTCTAAATTACCATTGTTCACGAACTCATATACTAACATCCTATTAAAAAGGAATACTGTTGTAATATTTACATGACATAATGATAGACCCTATGAAAAAGCTACAACAGGCTATTTAGAACCACTACACTTTTGGCAGTTGGTAGAAGCCCTACTACAATCCAATGGATGATCAATCAACTCGATTCCATTCAGTAGAATAAAAAACGAACACTAGCAAAAGAAGGCATTGTTTAAAACTTAGCTGTTAGTTCACAGAAACAGAAAATGCAGAACTTGTGCTAAACCATTTACATGGTAGTAACTAATATTCAATTTTGAATAGTCCTTACAAAAAGGGCGTACCCAGTGCAGAGAGCTCCCGCTCTGTGCGGGGTCTGGGGAAGGGTGTTAGTGGCAAGCCTTACCCTCGCCTGTGCAATGCGAGGAGACCGCGACTCGAACCCGGGACCTTCCGGTCACAGGCAGTAAGACTCTACCGCTTGCACCAGGCCCGCCCTTCTGAATAGTCCTTACAAGGTTTAACATAATATTCAGATTAGCATACTTTTAGAAACTCTTACCTAAATGCACACATCACTGAAAGAAATGGTTGAACAAGCTATTCATGCCTTGCAGTTGAACATACCTGTTTACCCCCTCAACACAATATCCCAACAGTCGAACCAAATTCTTATGTCGGACATGGCCAATAGCCTCAACTTCCACTCTGAATTCTTTTTCTGCCTGCCCCCTACAAACCCGAAGATAATATGATCATAGTTAAGTATCCTAGTTCGACCAGAACAAACAAATTACAAAGATCAAAGTGATATTCAGAGACCACAAGGTGAGCTTACATGTTGTTAAAGATCTTTTTGATTGCGACTTCAGTTCCATTCACTAGACGTCCACGGTACACAACTCCATAGCCACCCTCTCCAAGCATATTCTCCTTAGAGAAACGGTTGGTAGCAAGCTCAAGGTCACGCTGAGTAAACCAGTGACCCCAGCCAAGATGAGAAAACTCTGGAAGGCCAACCAATGGCGACGCTGACACGAACGCCGCAGGAGAATTTGGTTTCCTCCGAGGTCCTGAGCTCCCATCCTCACCGGAGTGCACGCTGCCAGCACGGTCTACATTGCAAACCGAGCTCCCCTGGCTCATGTTATCATGATCCGAGGACTTGCTGAGTGCCAGGTGCCCCAGCGTCGCCCCGGCCGGCTCCCGGTTCGCGTACTTGTCCGGCGGCGGCAAGCTCGGCTGCTCGCGCTCATGCATTGTCTGCGCAAGGCTGCGCCCACCGACCCGGTCGACAGGGATCTCCTTGGAGTAGATGGGGATCTGCGTCTGCCTCAGGGTGTCCATGGTTCTCTTGGTCCTCTGGCGGGACGCCACCCAAATGCAGATCATCAGCAGGATTGCCACGAGAAGGGCGACCACGCCGATGGCAATCCAGACCCACAGCGTCAGGCCAAGAACCTTCCTCTCCATCTCGGAGCTCAAATCGCCGGAACCCATGGTGCTGTCAGGCTCAACAGTTGATTCAGTCGCGCTTGTGGGTTTCAGCTGTATATTATCAGCACGGAACGGATCCTCTAATGCTCATCAGCAACACGTGCAGATGAAGTTTTCTCCCTGCAGAACGCGAACGAAGCGGTTAAAACGTCACCTATATAGAGGCTGAAATTCCGAGGATAAACAAATGGAGACTGCGCCGCTCCCGCAAATCAAGACAACCTACGAACAAGAACAATCTCTGCTCCTTACAAGAACTTCTGTCAGAGATATTAGATGTGACCAAGATTGCGCCCCCTCTTCCTCCATCGATGCATACAGGATGCTGAATTCCACAGCCAGGGGAAAGGAAAACAGGTCCCCAAATCCTCTCGTGATCCCAATCCCATCAGGATACCAACGCTCGATGGAATAAAACGAGAGGACAGTTTAAAGCTTACCTCCTTCCACTCATCCCACAAGCAAAGAACCTGAAACCGCAAAAAGGAGAGACCGAATCGTGCACTTCGCCCAGTCCCGGCTAGAATATCTGAATCAGGACAGAGATCGTACCAGCAAGGCAGCAACCGCGCGGCGCGGCGCGTGGATGGATAGACAGCAGAGAGCGAGGGAGAGAGAGAGAGAGAGGGGAGAGAGAGATTGGGGGGCTGCGGGAAAGGGGGGAGGAAGAGGAAGGTAGTGATGTATAGCAGGTGGTGGCATTAATGGCTAGATCAGCGAGGAGTGAAGGAGGGGTGCGATGCGAAGCAAAAGAGAAACGGGTGGGGCGGGCCGCGGGCGCAAGGAAGGCGGCAGTCAAAGAAAGAAGAAATGGCTGTCGCGGTCGACTGTAGTAAAGTAAGCGGTGAAAACTGAAAACCGGAGGAAGATCGACGACGACGAAAGAGGTGAGCGAAGGAGAGAGAGTTCTGCGTGTGTGTGAGTGGGAGAACAACGTGCTGGTCTGCTGACAGAGCAGAGTACAATAGTAACTGAAGGCGCATCAGCATGACACCAACGAGGCGCTTGGACCGGGCAGCAAACAGCAGCTTTTGCCACGCCGCCGGCCCGCGGCCCGCCACCATTCCCCGACCTCGACCTCGGCCAACCCGCATCGCCTCATCTCAGGTCAGCCTGCTAATTCTGCGCTGCGGCTGGTTTGCTGTTGTCTTCCGCATTTTTTTAAAAAATTTGCCAGGTCTGATGGTTTTTGGTTGCATGCCGTGTCACAGCTGTCGCTGCTCATCAAATTCCCCCGGGCTTCCGCGGATCCTTTGCGGTCGGCGATTTCATGCCTCGACGTGGGTGACTGGATAGATGTTTAGGAATCTGCGCACATGTTGGGTCCGCAAGCCATCAGTCACCTGACAGATTAGGCCAACCCCCCTCGTCCATGGAACCATGGATGGTACAGTGATCTCAGGAAAGATGCCATCGTTACTGTGTGTAGTTGTAGGTTTAGTAGTGCACAAGTAATGTGTGTGGTGTGTGATGTGCGTGCGTGGCGTGGGTGTGTATATGTGCAAGAACAGATTGTAATCAGCCGAGAGGTTTCAAATAAAAAAAAATCAATGATTTATTTAACGATACTAATTAATATTAATATATCTCCTATAACTAAAAAGACTAAAAGTAAGACTATTTTTATGTGCGACTTTTTTTTGGGTCGCTCCTCCCTTCCGGCCATGCGATACCCCGCGTGATAAAAAAGAAATTACCATCCCTGCGATCCCCGCCTGCTTTGAAGGAAACAAATCGATCACCTAAGGGCACATGCATGGAAGGAAACAATAATCATGCATGGAAGGAAACAATTGGCAAAGATCAAGCAAGACTCCTCCCTTCCAGCCATGCGATGCCCCGCGCTATAGAAAAAGAAACTGCCATCCCTGCGGTCCCCGTCTGCTTTGAATGAAACAAATCGATCACCTAAGGCCACATGCATGAAAGAAAACAATAATCATGCATGGAAGGAAACAATTAGCAAAGATCAAGCAAGACTCCTCCCTTCCAGCCATGCGATGCCCCGCGCTATAGAAAAAGAAACTGCCATCCCTGCGGTCCCCGTCTGCTTTGAAGGAAACAAATTGATCACCTAAGGCCACATGCATGGAAGAAAACAATAATCATGCATGGAAGAAAACAATTAGCAAAGATCAAGCAAGACGACTCAATGAGGTTGGCCCTTAATTTTAGTGTTTCTAGCATGCAGACCTAAAATTAAAAAGTGGCCGCTCCTTGAGAATATCAGTGGTGCCAAATAAAAGATGTGCATGTTATACATGGTGAGACTGGTGAACCATCTGTAATTTCCTAAACGAATATTCCCACCATTCGTATATAGGTCCATTCCCCTGTGTTTTTTCGTGCTCCAATTAGCATATAATATGAAGGTTTGTAAAAAATACGTGCAACATTTATATCTTTAAATAAGTTTATTATAAAAATATATTCAATGGTCTATGTAATGATATTAATTATGTATTATAAATATTAATATTCTTTTATATATAATTGGTCAAAGTTAAAAAAAAGTTGACTTCTCGGGAAGCGAGAATAAATTTTATTTTGGGACAGAGGGAGTATATGAAAGCAGTGTTGAAAATATTTTAACAATCAAGTTCGTCTCCGTCTGATTGGTAAGCTTAGAAATCATAATGGCATCAAAAATTTCGACTCTCATGGACACTCTCATGGATCAGTGCAAAGCATCTCAATCCTACAGTATACACAAATGGCAACCTTAAAGTTATGATATTTTCAAAAGGTGGACAATAAAGACCATCTTAGACGTTCTGGCATTAGAGTATATACGTGCAGATACATAGACATGGTGGTGCAAGTGAGCAGCCAGCAGGAGTCGAGAGTTTGGGGATGTTTGGATCCCAGGACTAAATTTTAGTCCCTGTCGCATTAAATTTTTAGATATCAATTAGGAAAACTAAACATGAGCTAATTATAAAACTAATTACATAAGTTGTGGCTAATTTGCTTGCCAACGCCGTGTACAGGATGGTATGGAGATATGGTGGAACTTATTTGTGGATTTGTTGGCGTACGAAAGAAATGGATATTGGAAATCTCTTCCTGCCGGTATAAAAAATGATCTTCGCCGCATCACGGAAAGATCTATACAGTAGAGTTTGTGAGCCTGCGACGCCATACTCTCTGTGACTATGTAAATTTCACGAAATTAGCTTTTTGGATTAAATGTCACTTTAACATCGGTCATATACTTTTACAGTATTGTTATTTTATCGTGCGATCCGTGTGTTTTTAGTACAAAAGTTTAGCTGTCCCATAGCAACGCACGGGTACTAACCTATTTACATATATACTCGAACCTTTGTGTACATGATTATATGGAGATGCAGTGGAACTTATTCATGGATTTATTGACGCATGAAAGAAATGGATATCGTAGAATTCTTTCTACCGATATAAAATATTATCTTAACCGTATCACGAAAAAGTCTATACAGTAGAGTTTGTGAGCCTGCGACGTCGCGCTCTCCGTGACTGTGTTAATTTGACGAACTTTGCTTTTTGAATTAAATGTCACTTTGACGTCGGTATTTAATTTAACAGTATTGTTATCTTATTGTACGATCTGTGTGTTTTTAGTACAAAAGATTTAGATGTCCCGTAGCAACGTACGGACACGCTACTAGTACTATATAATAGTTAAAGTTAAAATGGGAGCAGACTGAATGGTGAGCCTAGGCCTCAAGTTTGTGCATGCATGGCTCTCGGGGCGGTGAGCCTAAGCCACGGCCCACGGCCAATGTGGAACGGCCAACAACGCACAACATGGGTGGATAAAGGCACTTCCAATTCAGAAAACACATGGTTTCCATGTTTATTGATTAATTAGAGTGTCAACTAAATAGAAAGGTGATGTGGAACTATAATTAAAGAAAAGATAGAGAAGAAAATAGTTTCTTAAATCATGTCTGCGTGAAAGCCAAGACACAAAGATATGTGATAAGTACATGATTGAGAGAGAAGATATGTGAATGGATAAAAGATCATTCTATGGAAACTATCCACTGAAACCATAGTTTCTATATGTAATGTCTACACGAATTAAATAGACATGGAAACTGCCTGTGGTTTCTAGCATAGGACTGCCCTAACTAATCAACCATGATGATGTCGTATTTAAGCTAAATATGTGCACGCCTAATAAAAAACATGAAAGGAGTAGTTAACTACAAAAAATTAGCGGAGAGTACAAAACACCTCGATAATAGACAACTTAACTCTTTTATTAGTGTAGATTTGACACTCTAGGTGATCCTTCGGAGGAGCCAGAGCGGGAGGAGGGCATAAATTGTAGCTCCTCCATACACCAAAAATGGCTCTGGGCCCTTTTCTCCTCCTTCAAGGGCGTTCGGTGTGGCTCCTCCAGCTCCTCTGTTGAAACTGCTGCCAAAGTCAACACCTCACCTCATCATTAGTTAGTTCATTAGATGCCCTAATGTAGCTAATGGTTTGGGAAATGACTCTTATACTCTTCGCTATATCCTTTGCCCCACAAGTATGGATCATCCCGTCCCAGCACATATGATTAGAATGAAAAGAAGTTTTTTTTAAGAGACCCTTATCCTCATCACGGCTAACATTGAGTGGGCTGGATATTTATCTTATCAACTAGCAAATCAGTAGAGATTCTATTTGAGTAAGCATCTTAATCAGATTGAACCGGTTTCTGTCATGTTTAGGCTTCTATTCTTCTGTTCTTTCGAATCCATGAAGACAGTGATTTTAACATTTCCTATAAGAAGCCTTCATCACAACAGTCCCACGTGTTATAAAGATTACTAATGGAGTTAAAAGTGAAATTTAAGTCTCTCAAGAGTAAAGGGAGTCCACAGATAAAGTATAAGTTTCTTAGAGTTGGGACAAATTCAGGCTTGCCTCATGGATCACGTATGTCAGCTTTGCATACCCAGGCTGGCATGCACCGCAGATGCTAATCACAGCCGGGTGATGCAGACGATCAGGCCGCGCCCCCAAAAGGA